AAGACACCTCAAATTACTCAGAGGAAAAAATTAAGAGCTTGTAGAAAAGGTTTTATAGATAACGAAAAAGAAACGAAAGATTCAGAGTCATATTCTGCAGGAAATTATTAAATACTTCTTTCGCATTGTTCTTTATTTTTTAGAATGTAGAAGTCTTAGAACAAATATAGCTCTGAATCCGCATATAGTTAAATGTTTAAATTTTCAGGAGTTGTTTATTATACTTTAAAGTGCCTAAACTAGGATCTTTAACAGAATTATTATTTTTTTCCAAATCATGAAAAATATCGTCATACTTAGAAATAAAGATTTCTCTCATTATACCCGATTTAATACACAGCAATCTTAGCAAACATATTTTTTTTTCTACCAATTCTGGTTCTGTTTTTTTTATTCTCTTTAGGTGAGAAAATGAACTCTCTCTAGAAAAATTAGTTATCATTAGTGTTAAATAAATACGCAAGACAGTTAAAGCATTTGGAAAAACAATATCAATACTATCTTAAAAAATGAAATTGTACATTTCTTGATGGTCCAGTTGTCAAACTTTTTTTTTTTATTTTGGCAATATCTTTAGTTTTACTATATGAGTAAAAATGTTCTTGCCTCATTAGTTAAATATTGTCTATGTTGTAAGAAGTAAATAGCAATCTTTTGAAAAAAAATTGATTGGTTTAATGGTCGATTAAAGATTAATTAAAGTTTCCCTTCGAATGTTTGTTAACAATATCATTCGAAGTTCATTTACTAATTTTTAAGTTACAAACATTCGAATTTCAAACGTTTGTAAATATAATATTTATATGTTTGTAAATCAAAATGTTAAACTTTAGTTTTCTATTTTTTCTTATTTATGTTTTTTAAACCTTATCAGCTGGGGCTCTAAGCCTTGGTTTAGTTGGCATATGCCGTAATCTAACCCTAAAGGCACTGTTGATATGTCATTGTTCTTTAATCATACTTATCAAAATAATTTTTTTCTCTGATATATTCGGCAAAAATTCGTTTTTTATAATAATATCCTTTGTATACTGCAGATCCATTCCGAGTTTATCAACGTATTCTGAAGAATCGATAACAAAAATTTAAACGATCCACAAATTATAGCTCATGAGTTCAATAAATGTTTTGTTGAAATTGGTCCAACCCTATCAGATAAAATTCCAATAACCAAAACTTCTTTTTACGATTTTTTAATACCTCTTGATATAGGCATTTGCTCTGATGAACTACCGTCCGAACTATCCTTTTTTTTTTATAATTATCTCAATTACAATAACCTACTATACAACAATCAATTTGGTTTCAAAAAAGATAGTTCAACTGAGCATGCCATTATTTAATTTGTACGCAACATCTCCAAATCCTTTAAAAAAGCTCAATATACATTAGGTATCTTTACAGATCTTTTTTTTTTACAGCGTTTTTTTAGTAAACAATATAATAAGGCATTTCCTTTAATCGAACAAAGTTTAAATTCTAAGTCTATTTTGAATCCGTGGATGACAAAAGGTTTAATCAAATTTTCAAAGAAAAAACAAAAACTATATGAAAAATATCTACGACATAAAACATATCATAATGAAATAATATACTACAAAAATTTGTATGAAAAAACCAAAAGGTTTTCAAAAAAATCTTACTATAAAAAGCTATTGGAAAAAAGTAATGAAAATACAAAAAAAAACTTGGAATATAATAAAAGAAATAATTGGCAAAAATATTTCGATTAAAAACAATTTGCCACAAAAACTGTTAATTGATGAAAAAGTTGTTTATGATCAAGAAACCATAGCTGACAAGCTAAACAGTTTTTTTCTTGAGATTGGTCTAAATCTGGCGGCAAAAATTCAATCTAGTACCATAAAATTTGAAACTTACCTCAAAACAGCAAATAATGTTATGACAGAACTAAATTTAAATATAAGTGAGTTGCATAATGCTTTTTCCTCTCTGAAAAATAAAAAAAGTACAGGCATAGATAAAATTAGCGTCAATGTAGCTAAATCAGTCTTTGATATAATTGAACCTTTATTGTTCCACATTTTTAATCTCTCATTAACGTCTGGAATTGAACCAGACAAACTTAAAATAGCCAAAGTCACACCGATTTTTAAGTCGGGTAAAAAAACAAATGTTTCAAACTACAGACCTATTTCTGTATTACCTTGTTTCTCTAAGTTGCTAGAACGCATTATGTACAATAGGCTTTATAATCATTTAGTATCAAATAATATTCTGTAGAACAAACAATTTGGGTTTAAAAAAAATCATTCTTCGGATCACGTGGTAATTGAGCTTGTAAACCATATATCGGATGTTTTTGATAAAGATTATTTTACCTTAGGAGTTTTCATTGATTTATCCAAAGCATTTGACACTGTCAATCATGAAATCCTTATAAAAAAATTAAAACTTTACGGAGTAAACAATTTAAACTTACTTTGGTTTAAAAACTACTTGACTAACAGAAAACAATGCATAACCTATGAAACAAATGAAACCAAAAAAAAACTTATAAGTTGCGGGGTTCCTCAAGGATCTATCTTAGGACCATTATTGTTTCTAGTGTATATAAATGACTTATTTTTAGCATCTAAAAAATTATATCTTATATTGTTTGCTGACAACTCCAATCTGTTTTATTCACACAGAGATATAAAAATTCTTTTTAAAATTTTTAATGAAGAATTATCTAAAGTAAATGAATGGTTTATAAGTAACCGCCTTTCACTAAATGTAGATAAAACTAAATTCATCCTGTTCCACAAACCAAATAAAGTTGATAATATTCCACTTAAATCTTTTATTCAATAAAACAGATGTAAAAAGGGAATCTACTGTTAACTTTTTAGGCGTAATTCTTGATGAAACCTTGTCATGGAAGTTTCACATCCAAACTATTGAAAGTAAAATCTCTTATAATATTTCCGTACTTAATAAAACAAAACCATTTTTAAACGCAAAAGCTCTAATGAAAATTTATTTTTCATTTATTCACAGCTATCTTTCTATACTGCAACATTGCACGAGGAATCTTTCTATACTGCAACATTGCATGGGGAAGTACGAATTACGGAAAACTCAAAAAACTTTATAGTAAACAAAAGCATGCTTGTAGTATTGTATTTGAGGCAAACAGAACTGTTTATTGCGAACCGCTATTAAATCGTCTCAAGGCCTTAAACATTTATAAACTAAACATTTACCAAACATTACTTTTCATGTTTAAAATGAAACATGGAATATCTCCACTTATATTTCAATCTTATTTTAGCAAAATATCTCATGAGTATCCAACAAAGTTTTCAGAGGATAACTTTATTGTTCCGAGAATTAATTTAAAAATAAGTTCTCATCGAATTCAATATTGAGGACCTTTTTTATGAAAAAATTTTATTAAAAACTTTAATAAAGAACCCTACTCTTTAGAAAAGTTTAAAACAGTTTCTAAAAGAATCTTACTTCAATTAGATTTTAATTCAACAGACTTTAAATATTTTTTTTAAAAGGTAATTTTAAAATAGAAAAAACGCTTCCATTAGCACTAAATATATTTTGTTATATGTATCAAATATATTTGTATTAGGATACAAAACTTTATTTTTAAATTTTTAATATAATTGTCATTTTATTATTTAACAAATGTTATGTACTCTTTAACGCTTTATTGTATATTTTATTCATATTTGTTTATAAACACGGACATTTTGTAAAACGGGGCTCGGTGATAAGACAGTCATTGCCTTCTTCTTGCTCCAGCCAATTTTTATAAATGTAATATGTCTTTATTGTAAATATATGAAACAGCAAAAAAAAAAAAAAAAAAAAAAGAAAGATCAAAAACATTTGATACGGTTGACCATGATATTTTAATACAAAAAATGAAATATTACGGTTTAAACAAATATTACGGTTTAATTTCTTAAGCGTGGTTTAAAAGCTATTTAATTCACCAAGAAATAAAAATTTGCTAAATAAACCATTTTGTAGAACAAAATTTAATAAATTTTGTATTAATTATCGAGCACCTTAACTTTGGAATAAAATAGTTCTGTCTAATTTTGATCCTTTTATCCGTTTTTCTGTTTTAATGAATGCAATGAAAAAATTTATTCTTGCTATTGATAACGTTTCAAGTTACTATTAATTTAAAATATAAATTTGATTTATGAGATTTATAGTAATATTTATATTAATAGATTTATTTTCTTTAATTTATAACAGATCCATAAAATTTATTGTTATGGATTTTTATAACAGGTTTGTGAGAATTATTATTGCAGATACATGATTATTATTATGAATTTATTATTACCCAGTGGGCACTGGACCAAAAACACACGTCTTTTGAACGTTCAAAAGACGTCCAAAACGTTCAAAAGACGTCTAAAACGTGTATAAGACATTGTCCACTGGGTATAGATTTATAATTACGGGCGTTCTTTGGATTTATATTTTCAGTTTTTATAGTATGATCTATTGTAAAGTATTGTTTTTAAAATTGTAAAGGTTCTGATGATAAGATCATTTGATCTTCTTTCAGAAGCCTTGTTTGTTTGTTCTTGTAAAATATAGTATTTATTTTACGGCAAATGTAAACAGAAAAAAAAAAAAAAAAAAGAATATCATTGACGTCTCTGGTACGAAATTTATTAGTCGGCAAATTGAAGATTGGAGTTGGACAAATGTCGGCCAACATGAACCTTTTTTTTTTTATCTTTTTAAATCTTAGTTGGCAAAGTTTTTTCTCTAGGCTTCAGTCAATACTTAACTCTCCCCCCCCCCTCCCTAAATTTAAGATTTCGGGAAGGCCCTGGTTGCTACATAATATAATCAATATTTAAATGTTTACTTAGTTTAATCACTGATTTCAGGAAATACTTTTGTTACTCGTATTTTTGTATAATTAATATTATTCGTGTTTTTTTTTTTTTTTTTTCAATTTTCTTAAATTGTCTTTTATATCTGGTGTTAGTCAGGTCACTAAGTTTTCGCTAAGTGCGCGAAACGATTTAAAAAAGTTTTTGACTCCAATAGGTTCGGCTATATTAATTTCATTCGAAATGACGTCTGAACCATCTGTAAATGAATTTTTGCTGAAAGACCCTCCAAAAGATACTATTTCCTCAGCAAAGTTTGGTCCCACTTCCTCAAATTTTTTATTTGTAACGTCTTGGGACCATGTAAGTTTAAATTTTGAAAAAAGGTTACCAATGTATACGTCATATTTTAAATGAATTTATAAATATTTTATTAATTCTTCAGTGTTTAGTAGTTTATGTTTTTCTTTTAAGACAGCACGTCTTTACGATGTTGGAACAAATACACAACGTTCATGCTATGAAAATATTAATGCTCTATTAGACTGTACTTTTGTTGATCCTACGCATGGTTATGTAGGAGGATTAGAGGGTAAACTGTCAGGGTTGGTACATTTGATAAGTTTAGAATATAATTTATTTGAAATCGCGTTTAAGTTAATACATAAGTAAATAAAAACAATTTTTTTGATATAATAATAATAATTCATGCTTATATTGATTTGCATTTTAGCTATGACTTCAACACTTCTGTAGAGACATTTCTTGGATTTCATAATGCACCAATCAAATGTGTTGAATTTTGCCCTGAACTAGGTAATCCTGTTTGTAAAATAATTGTATACATATTCAAATTTTCTAAATTTGTTTATAAAGTTGCTTGAATATTCAATTCACTCATTATTTACATTTTTTATATTTTATATAATCTTTATTCTATTTTATTTTATTTGTATATTTTATATAATTTTTATTATATATTTTATTAAATTATGGTGATCCTACAGTTATGCAGCCTAAAATAATTTTATTTTTTGCTTGTCAGTAGAGGCTTTACAAACAATAGGAATGTAATTGATATAAAGTAATTTTGTTAAATATAATGTAATTGATATAAAGTAATTTTGGTTGAAAATAAGTTTTTTTGTTCAAATCACTGTAAATTCTGTTACTTTATTTTGAGTAATAATAATGATGACTGTGCATATGATAATTTGTGAGTTATGCAACTGTAGATAACTTTCTCAACAAAATAAAAATACAACTAGTACACGGGTACCCTGAAGGTGACCCAAGTCCTTTTATCAAGTCCCATGAAATTTTTTTTTTGATTTTGAATATAGTACATTTGTACATTCTGAAACTATCAAAATTTAAATCATTTGTTGGTAGTTTTTTGAAAAAACTTATTAAAAAGTTCATAAATAACAATGTTTTCGTATTAAAATAATATTTTTCCGTCAGCCATTATAGTTGTTTACTTTCTGTAATTGCAACAGCGCGATTGGCTATAATAATATTTATTAGTTTCCGATTGGCTTATAGTTGTTGTTTTAAAAGACTTTAACAATATTTATTTATTTTAAAAGACTTTAACAACAATTAAGCAATAACAGCGAGTTTGTTTAATTATCTAAATAAATAATATATATTAACTTAAATTTAAGAGCTGATTCAAAAATATAGAAACCTTTCTCGAGAATAAAAAAGAAATGTCATACTTTGCTAAAATCAATACAAGTTTTTAAAATGCCTTTGCATATGCTGTATAAAGAAAATTAATGATTTAAGATGCATTCAAACCAAATGGATTAAACCAGGTTCATTAAGCATTAAAAATGCGTTAAACCAAAAACAAGAAATAAATTATGACAATCTTTTAAAGTGATTTATTTGGTAAAACTACTCTGTTGAAAACCCTAATCTGCCTAATATATTATGTTCTTATTGCAAGAAAAAATCTAGTGAGTTTAGAAAAAAACAGATTCAAAAACCATTTTTATTCAACGCTCAACCTAAGTACTAAAGTAAGTTTTATAAAAAAAAATAAGCCAATAAAAACTAATTATGTTATATATTATTATACTTTTAATTATGTTCTTATACTTTTTAAAACCCCTTACTTTTTTTGAAAAAGTTAAATTCGCAGCATGGCAAGTTCAAATCGTCAGCTTGCTTCTTTTTTTTTGAAACTTATGTTATTTAAAATGCAAAACAAAACAATTTTATAGTTAATTTTATAGTTCATTGTATTCTAAATATATATAACATATTACATACCCCTCAAACTCAACTTATTTGTAGAAAACCTGAAAAGTAAAACTATAAGCCTAAAAAAGACTACTTTTTCCATAACTTAAAATTTACATGAGTTAGATATTTGCATAGACTTCAGATTTTATTATAAAAAATTTTTTTTTTAATAAAAAAGAGGCTCTTTCTTGCTATTATCTCGGATTTAATGGCTGCCGCGAGTTTCATGCAAACATGCATGAATGAACATTAATACTATTATTAAGCTCAGCAATAATATGTAGTGATTAATAATTTACCTATTATTAAATTAAATCTCTTTAAAAATTTCTGCAATATTTAATAACTTTTAGTACAACATAATTTAATTATCATAATCAACATAATTTTATTATCAAAATATTAAAATATTTTGATAACTGAATTATGTTACATAAAATATAAATGTCAACTAAATATAAAATAATTAGGTCAGGTTTATCCTGCTACTGGTAACATGTAACCCAGTACAATCTGCTTCATGCCCTGCTGCCTTGTAGGATATGCCTTTTTAGGCAAAGGTTAGGAGATGCAAACTCCGACATAAAACACCCCCTGCCTTGGGGCTCTTGGTTTAGTAAAGGCTAGAAATGATATCTCAATAAAAATACTCATCTTAGGCAGATGTTGCATTCATCCGGCTGCTGTCTTGTAGAAGGCCTCCTGGGCAAAGACTTAAGGGGTAAACAGATTCTATCTGTTGACCAGTCTCGCACCCCTTCTCCATCTATTAGGCTGGCCCAGATGTATTTTTAATACATTGTTTCCAGTTTAGGATGTTGAACGCTGGATCTTCTTGACTCGATGCATGGGTTTTGCTTGTGTCTCTGTTTTTATGACTAGGCAACTCATTTTATTATCTTCAAATGAGGGTACAGCTCTAAAACTCAGTTTTATGGTTCTGAAGCCGGCTGGTAGTCAGGTTTCCCGAATTCTGTGGTAGCTCTCAGAGAAGCTGGTTCCATCAACAGCTGAAAAATATCAGAGTACTAACAGTGCCATGTTGCGCATGGATGGTGTCCCTGTTTGTACTTTTAGTGTGCATTGCCGAGGCCACATTAGAGCCCTTTGTTACGGCTTACGGTTTTAGAATGGAAATGAGGCAATTGCTTGGGCTATAAAACAGTGCACTGAGTACTATATATGTTTCGAGTCAAGTTCTTTAACAAATTTAAAAATGAATAAAGTAACAAAAATTATAAAACACAAAAAACCACAGTCATCACCAAGTTCGCCTAACTAGGTTTGACCCTAACTAGGTTTGAATCCACAGACTACTCTTTTTTGTGCTTTCGTTTAGCACCACTTCACTCTATCACCTTTCTCTTTGTTCTATATCGCTCTCCTTCATCTCAAGACTGCACTCTTCTTGATGTTATTTCTGATTATATTGACCAAGCCCTCATTCTTTATCCATCAGCCAATTTTGCTGTTGTCGGTGACTGTAATGTTCATCACAATGAATGGCTTGGCTCTAGTGTCAGTGACTCTGCAGGCATTAAGGCCCACAACTTTTGCCTTTCTCAATCCCTAACTCAAATAGTCAACTTTCCAACTCGCTTTCCAGACAACCCGAATCATTTACCTTCTCTACTCGACTTATGTCTTGTTTCTAATCCTAGTCAGTGCTCAGTTTCTCTACACTCACCCTTAGGTGCTTCTGATCATGGCTTGGTCTCTCCAAAACTATTATCTCATTCTTCTTTACCATCAGAATCCCCCTATCATTGTACATCTTACAACTACCTTAAAGCTGAGTGGGACTCTTTCCGTGATTTTCTTTGTGATGGCCCCTGGGTAGAAATCTATCCTCTTCCTGTTGACAAATGTGCTTCTTACATAACTTCGTGGATTCAGGCTGGCATGGAGTCCTTTATTCCCTCTTGACGATTCCAGGTCAAGCCTCACTCTTCTCCATGGTTTTCCTCACATTGTGCTGCTGCAATTGCTAATCGAAACCATTACTTCCATATCTATCAGCAAAACAATTCTCCAGAAAACAGACATCTGTTTATTACTGCTAGGAACCATTGTAAAAAAGTTTTATCTAACGCCAAAGCCCGCTATTCTCAGATCATGAAATCTTGTATTTCATCACAAAAGTTAGGCTCTCGTGACTTCTGGAGAATCTTTAATAGTACCATTAATAAGGGCAAGTCTGTAATTCCACCTCTTTTGTATGGTTCAGACTTTGTCACCTCACCTAAAGACAAAGCTGAATTGTTTGCCAAGAACTTTTCATCAATATCATCTCAAAGACATCCGTATCGCTCCAGTTTCTGTATTTAAAGTGATTTCCTGCTTAGACTCTTCTACAGCTTGCGGCCCGGACAACTTACCTGTTATAGTCTTGCAGAAGTGTTCTCCGGAGTTGTCGTCTATTCTTTCATAACTATTTAACAAATGCTTATCAGAGTCTTGTTTTCCAGCCTGCTGGAAAGCAGACTGGAAAACAAGACTCTGATAAGCAATCTTTTAAGTCGTCTGTCAAACGTTATCTTGCTCTACAATCTTCATCTTTTCTCTTCCAGTAACTTCCAACACTAATTAGTGGTTGCTTGCAGCCTTGTTGGAAGCAAAGATGTTAAAATATAAATATATATATATATATATATATATATATATATATATATATATATATATATATATATATATATATATATATATGTTTACATATAATGTTTTACTTTAACTAGCTTCACTAAAAGCTCTATAAAAATAATATATTCAGGCCTTGTTTTAAATAAAAAAGTGCTTAATGCATTAGCTTAACGCGATTTTGACGTCATAAAATTATCTTTATTTTTTTTTATAGGCGTTAAGTGTTTTAACTACCGCAATAAATAAATAACCGCAAACTAATTCAATTTAACAATTAACTCAAATATAAACTATAAACGTTTTAAATATAAATTTATTATGAAAATTTTGTAATGTTTTCAATTGTTATTTTATTATTAATTTTAGTTCAATATTATTTAGTAAAAAAAAATATATATATATATATATATTAATTATTTCTGAAATTTGTTTTTGAATAATTGTTTTTAATCGTTATTGAATAAAAAATATTAATGATTTTTTTTATTTTTAAAAATTTCTAGAGTAAACAAAAAATATTAACATTGATAAACACAAACCCATGTTAATTATTTAAACAATGATTTTGTTTTGACTAGCAAAGAAAAATTTAAGTTTTTAAATATTTTTTAAATTTTTAAAAGCGTTTCAACTTGCGTTTTATAAAAATATAAAAAAGTTTTGTCTGCTTTGAAGCGTATTTTTGATACGTAGTTTAGAACGCGTTCGCTAGGAATTTAATTCATAAACTTTTTATGTTATTGTAAAAATATTTAACTTTAAAATATTTAAACAAATCACAAAGAAACAGAGCTATAGAGAAAAATCGTTTTCAACGATTAAATCTTTTTTTTTTTTTAATTTTAGGAAATTAAAAAAAAAATTAAATTAAATATAAAAGTCTTGATTATGCAAACTCTTTTATTAATTATTCTTAAAACAAAAAAACAAATACTTGTACGCCAAACTTTAATCGTGCAAACTTATAAAAATACTCAACTGAAATAATTTAAGTATATTTAATAATTTGAATCGTATCTGTTTATAATAAACATTCGTAAAAATTTGTTTATTAAAAATTAAGTTCCTTAACTTATAAACAAACTCAAAAGTATTTTCATTCTACGTATAATTACAAAACTCTTTTTTTTTTTCGTTTGTAAGCAATTTAACTAAATAAAATAAAAAAAAGAATAAATATGAGGTAATCTTTGTTAAGAATAAATTTAATTTATTTATTGAACTATATTTTTATTTTTAATTATGTATCAACTTAATTAAAATATAGAAACATGTTAAAATATTTTAACATGACTTGTATTATTTATAAACCGTTGGGCAGTTGCCCTTACGGCACTATTGTTTTTGGATAATATTTTATTTTGATGAAGATCACATAACTTACATTTGATTTTAATAACGTAAGTCTTCTCTTTTTCTGTGATCATCGCATCGGCAAAGTCCCAAGATTTAAAAGTTTTTAAAGTAAATCTTTTGTCCTTCAAAATACAATCCATATTTGAACTTTAAATAATTTAGAGATAATACAAGGTTTAGAGATAATACAAGGTTTTTATATACTAGTTTTGTTTTATAAAGAAAAATACATATTCATTAGTAAAAAATGGAGACTGTCATTAAACTAAAACGTGCCTTAGTATTTATTTAACGGAACCTGTAATGTGCGCGTGCATAATAAAACCTCCGTTATTAGTGTCATCAGCGGATGTTGTAGTCTACTCATGATTTCTTTACCTTATATTATAACTTGATTTATGACAAAAAAAACTTATTGAATCGCACGCAGAAGAATTTTAACAAATTGTCTTCATTCAAATATTGCGAGTAACAGGTAATTTTTTTTTCTGTGCCGACCCCCTCCCCCCGCATAACTTAAACTATATACTAATAAACTAATAAGAAAAGCTATATACTATTAAACTAACTATAAGCTATATACTATTAAACTAACTATAAGCTATATACTATTAAACTAATAAGAAAAGCAAAGACAATTTTTTTAACATCTCGAAAAAAAGTCTTGATATTTTTGTTATCATGATAACAAAAATATTAAGACATTTTTTGAGATTTTATTTTAAAAAATGTCAATTCTTAATTAAAAATTTTTTTGCAAATGTTTTTTATTATAAATTCAGTAAAAAATTCATAAAAAATCTATATTACAAAAAACTTTTATATTCTGTATTAATAAATATAGAATATAGATTTTTTAAAAGTTTTTTACTAAAAACTTTACTACTTTTTATTAAAAACATTCCAAAAAATTTGTAGTTAAGGATTGACAAACAATTTTTCATGTTGCTAAATATTTGGATAAAAAGTTTAGCGTCAAATTAATTGCTATAAAAAGGAAAGATATATCGCGATGAAAAGTTACAACAATTAATTTTAAAGTAAATTCTTTTTTTTAATAAATACCTTTACATATCGTTATTTAAAAGTTAATGTGGTTTTTTTGAAAATTAATTACTTCTTTTATGTTACCGCTAATTTAAAAGTTAAAAAATGATAAAAAGTAGCTTAACCAAAACAGCTCTACGCGTACGTAAAAAGCGCTTAAGGCGTACGTAAATCGCTCTAGGCGTAACGCTTTAAAACAAGGCCTGATAATATTATAACAAAAATTATATTTTATGCTACATTTCTGAGTAGGAAACAATATTGGCGCAATATTGTGTACACACTTTACATGCTAAAAACAATATTGCGCCAATTTGGTTTGCTACTAGGGTTATAATTTTATATTTTGATTAATTTGAAAGTTGATAGTTTAAAATAAATCATTATCATCGGACTTAAAGTTGTTTTGTTATTATTTAGTGTATTGAAAGAACTATTCCTGATGTAATAAGCAATAATATTGATGAGTTTGTTGCAACAGTTTTACAACATAGATCTCTTGAACTAGAGAATGATGATGCTAAGATTGGGGTAGATGGAGGCAAGGCTATCTAAAAATTAACTTATCAATTGCATTAAAGCCAGAGCTAGTAACTAAAAAAGCTTTTTTTTTTAGAGCTAAAAAAAAAGAGGCGAATATTCTGATGAGTATGGATGTAAAGATTTCAAGTACACTAGTGTTCACAAAATTTTTTTTTGGCGGTATAACTCTCTGTTGATGAAAAAAGATAGCTAATTTTTAAAAACTGTTATCAGAAGTTATTTCTAAATACATTCCTCAAAGAGTCAATCCAATAGGTCAAACAACCAAACATATTATATACAACTATTTGATCCATTCGCAGGAGTCTTAGGGTGAGTCAGAGGGGTATTAACCTCTGGTTAAAACAAGTCTTATAAATTAGTTTTCTCAAAAAGCTACCAAAAATAATTTAACTTTTTATAGTTTTGGAATGTGCACATAGACTACTTTCAAAATCAAAAAAATTTTTTTATGGGATATGGTCACCTTTAGGGTACCTGTGAGTAATTGTTAAAAAAAATGTATAAAGGGTTTTTATTGAACCTGGAAAATTGTTAATTTCAATAAGGTCATAGAATGTCTGGATAGACAAAGAATTTTTTTAAGAAATTAGATTGTCACTAGGGGCTATTCTAGGAAAATAATTTAGGCAGCAGTACCCCCCATGCCAATCCCTGCCATATAGAAGTTTAGCTAAAACATTGCCATAAATAGGCATTTTTGGCAAAATAGCAAACAATATTTGCTGTATATAAAAAAAAGTCCATACCACCCAATAAGGTTTTTTTTTTTCATAATTTGTTTTTTTTAATAATTAACTCATCATATCTATTATTTATTTTAAATACATTTTGTTGTTGTGTTTTTAGAGATAGAATAATGAATAAAGTACAGAAAAAAACTTATTTTATTAAAAAATAGTCACACAAAGGCAATTGCACTAAGCAATTCTTGGCTATTTAAACAAAAAGGTAATACTCAGGCTCAATGCAAGCTTTGCCATAAAATTATTGAACTTCAAATGTGGGTATCCAAGCACTACAAATCATGAAAGAGGAAAAAAGTATGATTCAGTTGCAATAATATTTCTTATTTTTCAATGTTTATTGGAGGATTCGTATTTGAAGATAACTGATAGTTCCTCAACAGGATACATTATAAGGCAACAATCTTTGGGACACATTGCATCAAGTTCTAAGAAAATCTGTACAGAAATGTGGGAATTGTATTGTTGTTTTAGTGAAATTATTAACAACTCAAACAAAGAAACAAATAGTTTATTACAAGCTATGTTTCAAAACAGTAAAATTGTCAAATCTTTGTAAACGGGACCAATTAAAGTTGGGTATAATATCACCCATGGTCTTGGGACTAGTTCATATTAAAAAAAAGTTCATATAAAGAATCAGTTCATATAAAGACTCAATTCAAATAAAATATCTGTTAATATTCAAGAATCAGTTGATATAAAGAATTAGTTCATATAAAAAATAAATTCTTATAAAGAATCAGTTCACAAAGTTTTATGTAGAGTTTTTTTTATATTCGTAACATTTATTTTTGAAAATTTTTATCTAAGTACAATGCTTTATTTGGCCGAATATTCTGTTTGTTTTTTCTGCAATCATATTTGCATGGTTTTTCCATTTACTTTTTAGGTATTTGCACAACTTAATTTTGTTTCCATGATGTTTCTAGAGTAATGGAATGATATTCATTGCATGCTGGATATTATATTTATTTAAATTTGATATAAAAACGATGATTCAAAGCAAATGGACTATTATCATATCTTTTGGATTATTTTAAAAATTTATATTTATAAAAGAGAGGTTTTAACCAATAACATGCAATTTGTTTTTGTTCTATATAATTTGTTTCTATTAATTTCCTTCAGGTATACTTATTACAGGAAGTTGGGATTGTACTGTAAAACTTTGGGATCCTCGTCAAAGTAAATGCATTGATACGCATGATCAAGATGAACGAGTAATTAAATTTTTTTTAAATATTTTTATTCATTCAAATTATTGTAAATTAATTTTATTATGAACGGCTGATGTGTATTGCAATTTAATATTGTAATAACAAATTATTGTACACTTTAATATGAAATTATAACAATTCAATATTGTGTATTAGGGTGTGTCATACTGTGTTTGTTTTTTAAACAAAATCTCTGTATAAGGAAAATATGTCTTCAGTTATTTAAAATTAAGAAGAAAAAGTTTATTTAAAGCTAAAAAAAAAAAAAAATAAACATTAATGTTAAGCTGTTACAAAATTAACCATTAATATTGCATAATATTGCATTTATGGTTAATTTTTTGTAATTGGCTTTAACCACAGATACAATGATGCTCCAAAGCATTTTTTAAATGCCACTCAGCCTCACTTTGACTTCTATCTAATATCAAAACAATTAAAAAGTTATTAATTTTGTCAAAACTGTTATATCTATTGTTTTTATATTGTTTATTTGTCAAAAACATTCGCAAAATAAATCAAAATTTATGTTAAAGGTTTGCAAAGTATGAAGTTTCTTGTTTAAACATGGTAGAGTTGATATTAAGAATGCTAATAAAAGCTTTCTGAATAATTAGGTCCTGGAAAAGATATTTTTATGTCCAAATTGATTGCAAAGAAATCTTAGAATCTTTATATTATCACTACATTGGTGAATAATTGAAATGCAGGCAATCTGGTAGCCTAGAAAAAAGCAGGTTGAAAGGATAAACATAAATTTGTTGTTAAACTTGACAATTGAAAAACTAAAAAAATATAATTTTTAAACCCACATTTAATTCAATGGGAAATGAATTTCTTTTTTTTTATTTACAATTTTTTTTCAAACTCAAACAAATAGGGATAGTAAGAGTTCACATCAATTTTAGTTCACATCAATTTTAGATAGTTGGCAACTACCGATATACTTTGCAGAGTTTGGGTCTCAAATCATTAGTTAAAAGGTTAGAATTTAAAAAACATTGAGTTAATAATTGAGTTTATATTGGGAGTATTCATACATGCAAATATGGTTAAGAATTTGAGTTAAACATTTTTTATTAAAAAACCAAGACATTCTTTTTTTTTAGCTTAGTCTTTTGAAACATCAATCAAGTTTTAAAAACTTGCCAATATTTTAACATTCAGTTTAGTATGCTTAAGTGTATGAATGTTTATCTTGTGCGCTGAGCTTTTCATTAAAATAAAATTGAGGTTTGATATCAAAGTAATTTTAGATGTTTTTTAATTTTTATTTTAATTTAACTTTATTTTAAGTTTTTTTTTTTTAATTTTACGTAAAATAGTTCAATTTTTAGAAAATTAATGATTTAATGTTAGAAAAGTTCTTAAATAATTTTCGTAATTTATGATGTTCAAAATTTATCAGTTTCACTATGAAGTTCACGTTGTTGTTATTTTTAGTTTTTTTTGTAAACAGCAATGATGTAGAGAAAATTTTTGTAAAGAAGTTTTAATGCATGCAATCATTTGTTTACTGTAAAGTTACAGTTTTAAATTAATTTTTATATTGAAAGTCTTAAAAGCTTTTTCTCTACAACAAGTAGATAATAAAATAATTTATCAAGCCTTCTCAGGAAAGGTATGCGGTCACACATCTTATATGACCACGCACACAGTATTTTGTTTTGACAAATTAGCCGCATTTAAAATTGTGCTGAAAAACTAAACAGAAGAGAAAATTAAAAATAAACCATAAACTGTAAGAGAAACAATATTTTAATAAATAATTAACCAGTAAAATTGAATGATAAACCAGTAAAAATAAAAACATAAAATTAGTATATTTATTAAATCTAGAATTAAAATTTAATAATTCTTTTCAATATCACTATGTAGTGTGTAGCACTTAGGATAAGTATTTATAAAATTGTTTGTGCGGCCTTAGGTGAAGGTTCAAATCATTTCAATGGATCATTTTTTTAGTTTTAAATAATTAAAATTTGAAGTAATTAAGCTTGAATAAAAAAACTTTCAAACTTTTCTAAACTCTATGAAGTGAAACATTTTTAGTTAAAATAAAGTTTTATGCTTTTATTTTTTCTGGTTTTTCTAAAATTAAATTTTTTTTTTAATTGAAATTTTTCTGGTTTCTTTCAAATTAAAGTTATATTTCTTTTAAATTGAAGTTTTATATTTATTTCTTTAGTTTAGTTTTGTATTTTTTGTTTTAGTTTTTATTTCTCTTTTCAGTTTATGGTTTACTTTTAATTTTAGTTAAAGTTTACAATTGTTTTTTTAACACACTTTTTTAACACGCTAATTTTCCAAACTTACAAAGAGCAGCGGCTAAGTTATCAAAAAAAAAATATGCATGATTATATAAGGCGTGCAACCACATGGTTTTCCTGAGAAGGCTTGTTTTATTGAAATTTTTTTAAAAAAAAGACCATCTTTTTATTTTTTATCAATTGAAATTGGTAAATAAAATTTTATGTTATTATTATAATGCCACTTCTTTTTTTTTTATTTAACGCAAAAAATTATTAAAACAATTTGTTTAAACTGAGTATTCGATACAAAGAAAACCATTGTTTTATGAATTGCTACTGTGAAAATTACAGTAGATGCTCCATTATCCCAAGACTCAATTTCCTGAAAATAAATTAAACCTTGCTGTTTATTTGATAGTCTAGTTCGGATAGTCTGCAATCCATAATGAGATTTTATTTGGTATTTAAAGCTCAACTTGAAAATATCACTATCAAGTTAAATATGTTATATCATGTACTTGAACTTCATTGTTTTTTTAATTCCTTTACAAACCTATAGCCACATTCACCTAAACACTCAAAGTAGTGTCCACTATATTTTTAACTCTACCTGCATCCATATTTCTGGTCAATAAAATATTGCATTTCAGAACCTTTTTATTTATGTTTTCTGAGAACTTATGATTGCAAGCTGATTGCAAATTGATTACATGGTAGTTTTAATAAACTTTTTTCTTCAAATTTTCAGTAAATATTAATCAAGGTAAAAAAAAAAAAGATAAAAACAAAAACTAAAACAAAATATAAAAGTTAAACACATTTATTATTATTATTTTTCATTATTCTTATTTAATCTTTATTTTTTTTAGGTATACACTATGGCATTGTCAGAAGAGCGACTTGTTGTTGGAACTGTATGATTGTTTAAACTTTACTTTTACAATTGACATAATAAGCTTTTATTGTCCTTCAATTCTTAATATAATAAGAATTATATTAGGAAATTACTATTATATGTACTGAAACCCCCCAGAAAAAATTACTTCATAATTATATTATCAGTGCTATATCATGCATAAACATAAAATAGCGCTGTTCACTTTTTAATTCATACTTATATAATCAGTGCTTTTGTTGTTGTAATAAATGTTGTAATATATACAAATATCAATGTGGATTTATACTTAATATATAAGTAAGGAAACCATGGTGGCCAGAACATTATGATTATAAAGCATCTAGTGGTTAAACATCATGGGATAGTAAAATGTCAGTTAAAATTTCCAACTGCTGTTATCAAGTTTTAACAGTAGTCTCATTTTTAGCAAACATGAAGTCAAAACATAAAAATACAATGTGGGTGAGTAAGATCATTTATTGCATTGATTTTTTTATTTAGGCTGAAAGAAGAGTCATGGTTTGGGATCTTCGAAACACTGTTAGATTTCAACTTTTTATTTTTTACTTACACATTTTTTTTGTTTAATGTTTATTTTCAAAATTATAAAAAAAGAGATTAATATTGTTCAACTTATCTTAAAAATACTGTTTGAAATGATTTCATTTTAGGGTGTTGTACAACAAAAAAGGGAATCTAGTCTTAAGTTTCAAACAAGGTGCATCAGATGTTTCCCTAATAAGCAAGGTATCAAATTATATATATATATATATATATATATATATATATATATATATATATATATATATATATATATATATATATATATATATATATATATATATATATATATATATATATATATATATATATATACATCACACATACACACAATTTTAAATTGAAGTCTGTATAAAATATTTTTATATTACAAAAGTTGTAAACTTTTTTATTTATTGCAAAAAGTTAAATGGATAGTATTAAGTTAATAAAAAAATTGATAAAAAATTAATGGTCAGTATAATATTAATTGTGTAGTCTATATTTTATAATGATCAGTAATATATTTATAATTTGAATGAAGTGGAAGTAAAAAGATAACTATGATTACTTAAGAGCTTTGTAGCTTTTGCTATCCACCTTATATTGCATTTTCCCTTTAGTAATCACAGTGTGATCGCACTGCTTTTATTGTAGAATTCCCAATTGATTATGCTTTCTTTATGATCAGAATTCCCAAATGATTATACTAATTTCCCAATTATGATTAATGCCTAAAAAAAATAATAATAAATAATTAAGATCTATATCAGACCTAGATATAAAATGTTACGTTGTGCACATTTGTATGCACAAGCTATTATAATAAGACTTAAACTATTTCATTAAAGGTTACTCTAATCAATAAAAAATGTTGTTTATATATTGTTTTAGTCCAACACATGTAGTGAAGTATTATATATTGTTTTAGTCCAATACATGTAGTGAAGTATTATATATTGTTTTAGTTCAACACATGTAGTGAAGTATTATATATTGTTTTAGTCCAATACATGTAGTGAAGTATTATATATTGTTTTAGTCCAATACATGTAGTGAAGTATTATATATTGTTTTAGTCCAATACATGTAGTGAAGTATTATATATTGTTTTAGTCCAATACATGTAGTGAAGTATTATATATTGTTTTATTTTCGTTAAATTTGTAATAGATTGTTAAAATTATACATTGTATAATAGATGTTTTGTTTTTATTGTATGATCCTTTAATGTGAAATATGAATTAAAGAAAAAAGGAGAAGACAAAAAGAACATTTTGTTTTGGGATCTTAGGCAAGAAGAAAATACAAAATGAAAATTCTAGATCCCCAAGTACCAAATCAAGTTGTTTTCATATCTTAAAAAAATTTTAGAAAATAACTTTAGAATTAATTAAACTTACCGAAACAAAATATTTATTAAATTATTTAACAAAAAACATTTCAGCTTTTTTGTAACTCGCCATCTTTTTTCTGTTTCTAAGCCTATTAAAAAGTTTTTTAATGAATGATGTGTTCATCATAGAAGTTTTCTAAAGGTTTTAATTAGCACACTATCTTGGGTTTTCCCTTTTTTAATTAGTGATTATATTATTTGCAATTAAAACTTTTTTGCTGCATTTCAGTTTTAAATAAATAATGTATATTAATATATATTATATATAAATATGTATTAAAAGAAAAATTGTTATTATTATTAGAATATTATAAAAAATATTCTATTAATAATAGCAAGTTAGCAACTTATTTAAAAAAAGGGAACCCAAACATTACAATATAATATAATGACAATATCTGTTTTTATTAATGTAAAAGATAATTTATTTAGATTTTAATCAGACCAAATTTATGTAAAAAAAATTAAAAAAAAATCAACTAGCCAAAACTTTTCTTTTCAAAAAAAAACAATATGGCGTTAAGAAAAATTTTTGTTAAATAATAATTTGTTTTAGTAAGTTTAATTAACTTATTTTTAAAGTTTTATTAAAATATGAATAAAAATTGTATCAACACTTGGGGATTCCTTTAAATAGCTAAAAAAAAAATGTTTAAAATCTGTGCTTTAGGCTTGAAATGAAAAGCAAACATTGTATCAATTTCAGTTTTTACTTCATTAATTTTTTTTTTTTAATCAAGCATCACAATCTCTTTTGCTTTTTTAACTACTTGGAACTAGGAACTGACCGGAGCCCCAACTAAATATGGGGCTTTTATAACCCTGGTGCCTGATAAACAATAATTCTAGCAGGGGTTATTAGCTAGGGCTTTTTTCTGAACTAATATTTTACTAATAAATATTGATAAAAGACACAGCAATAGTTATATTGCTTCAAGTTTAAATACATGTAATTAATTAAATAAAAAACTTATGCAAACTCACCATAATGTGTTCTTAAAAACACATTATGAAAGAAGGAATTAGGAAATTCAAATTAGATTGTACCATACATAGAAAATGAATAATATAAAACACCATATTCAAAAAAATAAAAAGTTATAATTTTTAGTGAAAATTGTATATGTTATCATTAAATGTATTGAACTTAGTTTTGTTTTTTTATATCTTTGTTTCTTTTGTATATATTTTTTAAATTTATTTTGTTCTCTGTTTGTTTTTTGCATAATTTATTAATTCAAACTTCTATTTTTATCTATATATTTTTTTCTTGTTCAACCTTTTTAATTTACCAAAATTAGGATATGTATTGAGTTCAATTGAAGGAAGAGTTGCTGTAGAATATTTCGATCCAAGTCCTGAAGTACAAAAAAAAAAATATGCTTTCAAATGCCACCGTGTAAAAAATGATGGAACAGAATATGTTTATCCTGTTAACACTATTGCATTTCATAATGGGTGAGCCTTAGATTTTGTATAATTTTTTTTTTGGCTGAAATATTTGCAAAGACCTTTATCACCAATTCTAATAAACACTTTTTGACATCTCAAACAGGTTAATACTTAGTCAAACATTTAATTTCTCTTTCTGTGGTCAAAGTTGCTTCTTCTGTAGGTTCTTTCACTGGCTCAGGTAACATGTTGTCGCAGTTTTCACTGTGGCTCAGGTAACATGTTGTCGCAGTTTTATAAAACTACTAGCTACTTTATAAGCTCTCTTTATTTATTAGGAAAAGTTTTTAAAAAAATATATATATATATATTTTTTTTTTGCAAAATCGAAATTACTCCTGATGAATAGCATTCTTCTTCATATACAGTAAACTTGGAGGTACCTTAATGAAATCAAGGTACCTTCATTTCAGTAAACTTTACAGGGATTATCTTTTTCCAGACATTTCTGGAATTACAGATATTTCTTTTAAATTTAATTTTTTTAGATATACAAATAGTTTTCTAAAAATGCAAGTTAAAATTATTGTTTTTGTAACATGTCATCAAATAATTAAAAGGTATCATTGATTAATTACTCTACGCTACATTTAGTTAGGATAAGCATTATTTGTATGCCTGTAGAATTATTTTTTTCTTTTTTTTCCGCATATATTTATTATAAATTATCTTGACTATTTCACCTAAAAAATTAGTGTAATTTAATTTAGTAATTTTTATTTAATAAGATTTAAATAAGTATTAAAATATTTTTCTTTTATATAAAAAAATTCCCAAAACCAAAACTCTCAGTCCGATGTATGTACTCCACTGCGCCTAATAAAATTTTATCACTATTTAAGTCAGTTGGTGTACACTCTGTTGCACCTATTTAAATTTTACCCTTATTTAAATCAGTCAATGTATGTACACTCCACTGTGACTATGGCTGTAATATTCAATTTATATATGGTTTGAAGCACTTTTTTTATAAAATTTAAAGAAAAATAAGGATAAACCACAATAATTTGGATTTTTTTTAGGAAAATATTTTCTAGATTTTTTTAGGAAAACATTTTTTTGATTTTTTTAAATATAACCTGGATAATCTCTGTTTTTGTATTTTGTCACTAAATTTTGTATTTAAGTCACTAAGGTGATTTTTTGCTGATCATGCAACTATTTATTTCTGTATTGATAAACATTTTTAATTCTGTCTCAATGACTTTTTTTTTATATTTTCTTAGACTGTATTTAAGTACTGACTTGATTCTGAAAACTATATTCAAAGTCCATTACAAAATTTCACATTTCCTAAAGATTGTAACCTTTCATTGTGTCAATTTATTACTCCTGATTCTAGCCAATTTATTACTCCTGATTCTATTCCATAAATCTCTTATTGTTTCTTGTATAGAATATTGTTGTTGTAGACGGACTACAACAAAAATATTTCCTACAACAGGCTAATGAGAATCTTTCTTTTTTAATTTTTATTGTTCCAAAATGCATTGCTGGTCTTTAGTTACAAAACCTCTCTATTAGTGTTGTTTTAATTTATATATTTTTATTACAAAATACATTATTGAATGACTAGTTATTCTGTTAGCAGAATAACTAGTATTCAATATCTATTATTATATATATATTTTTTTCAGCTTTTCGAAAACAATCTCATTGTGTTTTCTTGATTAATTTCTTGCTTTTTATTCCTCAAATTTTTATTCACATTTAATGTGGCTTTCTGCAGCTATGTTAACAAGCAAACTACTTTCCTTGTCTATTTATAAAATGTTTGTTCTTTAGAAAAATAGGTTTCTTTAAGTTTTCTATTTATAAATTATTTTTTTAAAGCTTTATAAATTGAAGTTAAAATTAAGACAAATACAGTTTTCATCCATTTTAAAACTTTAAAATTAAATTTCTTTATCTTTGGGTAAATTTTAAGAATTGATTGAATTACTTTAAAATTTGCTGTAATGATTTTATTTAACTTAATTGAAATTGTTTACCTTTAGCTACAATACTTTTGCAACAGGTGGATCAGATGGGTTTGTTAATGTTTGGGATGGTTTTCATAAGAAGCGTTTATGCCAGGTAAATATTTATAGAATCTGAATTGTTTAAGTGGATGAAACAGTTAAATAACAAAATTATTATCATAAAATTAAACATATTGTACAATATTATTGAATATTTTGTATAAAATATTATAAATATATATATATATATATATATATATATATATATATATATATATATATATATATATATATTTATACATTTATATATATACATATATATATATATATATATATATATATATATATATATATATATATATATATATATATATATATATATATATATATATATATATATATATATATATATATATATATATATATATATATATATATATATATATATATATATATATATATATATATATATATATATATATATATATATATATATAAATTCATTTCAATTAAAAAAGGCAGCGTATAAATATATTTTGATATAATAATATATTAACATTATTTTGTTGACCTATTGTGGTCAGCGAAAACTCTAGCCCTAAACTCCAAAGAGTATTTAAAAAAAAAACACTAGAGTTATATTTACTTCAGCTCCCAATTTAAATAATAAACTATGCAACAACAAAATTAAACTCCCACCAAATTCAAATCTGGGTGTTTTTGAACTTAAATGCTCATCCAGAAATATATATATTAGTGAGACCAAAAAGAAGATCATTTCAAGAAGCGCTGAATACCAAAAAGCCTGTAAAAATCAAAAATGGTTGAGTTCAGGAGCCACGAAACATTCTAGAACATGTTGTGGTACTTTTGATTGGCTGAATCCTAAGACCTTGGCAGTCATTCTAGAATACAGGATAAGAAAAGTTAGAGAATCCCTGGAGATAAATAAAGCAAGAGTTCAACACGAGATAGGTATTGGGCAAACTTGTTTTCACATTATCACGTCATTTCTAAATAGAAATGACGGGATAATGTGAAAACAAAAATTTGGGGACCAATTTTGACAAAAATTTAACTGACATCACTATTATATTATTTGATTGGTTTTTATATTTTACGCTTTTTAATGTCTACTTTATTATATATTATTATTTTTATATTATTATTATTATATATTACTATTTTTCATTACTTGATGACTTATTATATATTACTATTTTTCATTACTTGATGACGTTGACCACAATAGGTCAAAATATCTTTAAAAAGTATCAAAATATCTTTAAAAAATAGTTATACGCTGCCTTTTTTATTGAAATCAATTATACATTTGTAAACATTTTGTATAATAAGAAATTACTTTTAAATGTATATATATATATATATATATATATATATATATATATATATATATATATATATATATATATATATATATATATATATATATATATATATATTTATACATATATATATGTATATATATATATATATATATATATATATATATATATATATATATATATATATATATGTATATATATATGTATATGTATACACACACATATATGTATTTATATATATATATATATATATATATATATATATATATATGTATACACACATATATGTATTTATATATATAAATATATATATATATATATATATATATATATATATATATATATATGTATATGTATACACACACATATATGTAATCTTAGTTTCATCGCTATCAAAGTAGTATATCCTCATATAAATATATATATATATATATATATATATATATATATATATATATATATTATATATATATATATATATACAGCGACGTATCCAGGCCGATTTTGATACCGGTATACCGGTATGGGCCCCCAAATTTCAGCCCAAACTCAATTTAAAACACTTTTATATTAGCATTTGTTACAATTACATAAATATCAACATTTGAAAAACGACTTTTAAAGTACATTATAAGTGTATTTTAAAAGTCGCATTTAAAATACATTATAAATGTATTTTAAAAGTAAAGTATTTTAAAACTTAAAATACATTATAAATGTATTTTAAGCCAACCAAAATGCTTAATTCGAATTCACGTTGATGAAATATAGAATATGTTGCAATTGGATTAAATGTAAAACGCACGTTTTGATTGGATTAAAATATGAAACGCTTAGCATTTTTAAATAACATTTTAAAATACATTAATATGAGTTTCTCCTCCGCTTACGTTTTCATAACATAATTTTTGAAGCAATTAAACTAGATGAGTTTTAAACTTTTTCATTTCAAACAACAGTAAAAATTGTTTGTAAAATACTTTAAATAATAAAACGAATGAAATTTTTTAAAACATAAAATTAAAATAACATTTATTTGAATAATTAAAATAACATTTTAATATTCGCGCCAAAAAACTTTATTGGAATAGTAAGAGTAGAACTAGAAAAAAAAGTTATGAATTTTTGAATGAATTAAAATTTTGAATGAATTTACCTTGTTTTAAATACGCTATGTAATAAAGTTTATATCAAAGAGTCATACAAATATTGTTTATTAAACGTTATAGTTATTGTTTGTTTATGAAATCATACTCTTTTTATTTCTAGTTGATAATATTTAATATTTGGAATTTAATTATTTAATAATTAGCATTAATTTATAAATAGTAAGTGTATGGAGCAAGTAAATGAAAAGTAGAGATTAGCGATAAATCATTATATATTATATACGAAGAATTGTATTTAAATTTGAGTAAAAAAAAAGGTCCTCTAAGATAGGCAGAACTTTTAGATCGGTATGCCCAAATTATTCCTGGATACGTCACTGATATATATATATATATATATATATATATATATATATATATATATATATATATATATATATATATATATATATATATATACATATATACATATATATATATATATATATATATATATATATATATATATATATATATATATATATATATATATATATATATATATATATATATATATTTATACACACACACACACACACACACACACACACACACACACACACACACACACACACACACACACATATATTACTCTTAGTACATTCTTTTATATTTTATATGTAATCTTAGTTTCATCGCTATCAAAGTAGTATATCCTCGTTAAGCTTTTCTAATGATGGCACTGTTCTTGCAATTGCTGTTTCTTATCTTAATGAGGAAGGCGAAAGAGAGTATGTTTTTTGTTTTTTATAACTCTGCTTTAGTTTTATAGTTTTTATTTTTGCAATATTTGATTAAGAAACATGGTGTACATGTAGTATTTAAATTTGTGCATGTTTTATAGTTACATAGATAAAAGTAAATTATAAAGGTATTTTTTGTTATTTGATGTAAATATATAGTAAAGTAAAATATATATTGAATATATGCTAGTTTTAGGTCATACTTTAAAAAGTATGATCATTCAAATAATTATGAGTGGTATACATATATGAGTGGTATATATACTTCTTTTTAATTGTACTTTATAAAGCCAGCCATCATTTAAACAATGTAAATAGGTATTTAAATGAGTAAAGTGACATATAAATGAATTAAGAGATGGGTAATTCCACATCAAATCACCCACTCCATTGAACCATGTGTCTTCTTTTTGTTTTAAATTTTGACACATGATTCCTATTTATAAAAAAATATTGCATGCAAAATTTCAGCTAAAAATGTCAAGCGGTTGACAAGATACAGCAAATTTAATTTGGACCTGGTTTCTCAAAATGACCCGGTTTTTATAACATTCTGAAAAGTTGTTTTCCTCAATAAAATAAGAAATAAAAATGGCAAAAATATAAAAATATACATTTATAATGGTTTTTTAATGCTGAATTCAATAAATGTACTTAAAATGCTGAAATGTTAGAGGAACATCCTTAAAAATTAATAAATCAACTAGTTTATATAATCTAACTTTAGGGCCCAATATCTCAAAACACCCCCGTCAAATTTTTTTTTTTTTTGCTTTCAATATTTTAAGCTAGTTATAATCTTACTAGGCACAAAAAATCTAACTGGAAAAAAAACTGAAACATATAGAACTTTAATTTTAAAGATGTATAACTTTTTTAAGAAATTCCTAAAAAATATTTATAAATTCAATTAAAATAAATTATTCCTAATTTACAAAGTTACTTAAATATACAAGATTTTTAAAGGTATCGAATGTGCAAGTTATTTTGACTGTATTTGTAATAGTTCACAATATTGTTGCCATTTTACTTGCACTTCTTCTATTTCAACATTTTCAAACACATAGTTTCTACCAGAACTAGAGCAAGCTTGTGGAACAGATAGTTTTTTCAATATATTGATGTTAGGAATAAAACAGTGGTCGTCTCTTTCAGGCCAGTTAAAATAGATTGATGGACCTCTTGGGTGGAGAAACTTAACTTCAGCATCAACTTCTTCTAGGTTGATTTCAGTTACAATGCCGATCCACCACTTATCATCATAAACTACCGCAACATAACCTCCTAAAGTGACAGTATCAGGTTCAAATATATGTTTCTTTTTAAGATTGTGAATTATTGTATATTTAGTGTCTGTACTACACCTCTTCGCCCCAACCCTATTATCTCCAAGATGTATAAATTGATGAAAGCTACGAGTACCTGGTAGAGTTGTTACATCAGTGTACCTTTCTTTTTGCTTTTCACGTTGCAATTGTAAGTCCAATCCCTTTATGTAAATGAAGTTAACAGCCTTAATTTTCTCAACACAAAATTCATACATAGCCTCTGATGTGAGAATTTGGTTTCTGTATGGTCGTTTTAAACTTTCTTGTGCTGTTAACCTTTTTACAGTACCACCAATTCCATCGCATGGTGACTTTCCGTGGGACGTGGCAAAAAAGTTCCATTCAATTTTGAGGGAAAATTCTGTCTCTAGTTGGCATAGATTGTAAAAGCTTTTACAATTTTTGTACTGTCCTGCACAACCATCAGTGAATAAATGCAATTTGGATAAATCAAGAAATTTTGTTTTTAATATTGGTATAATTAGTTGAAATATCTTGTATACATAAGTTACATCGTGTATAATGTTGTCTGATATAAAACAGTAAGAAATATGTTTCACTACACCATTTTCTTCTTTATAGTATATCACTAATGGATGTAAAGAACATTGTTGGGTGTTCCAGTGATAGCTCTGTATTTCATCTTGGACTACAAAAGCATAATTTTCAGCAAAGTCGCCAAGAATGATAATGTTTGATTGATCCATATTTTCTTTTAGTTGATTAAGGTATTGTGATTGAGATTTGGCAATATAAGAATGAGATTGTAGCTTTTCAAAACAAGATACCAATAGTTCAATAAACGTTGGAACATCTGTTGTTAAACTCAATAGTGTTGCACGATCAGTAGTTTGCCATTGTTTGTAGTGTATCTCAAAATCATCTTCGTATTCTCCAAAAATCTCATACAAATACATGGTGAGCAGTTCTTTACCAGGACAATTATCACACTGTGCAAGCATGCATTCTTTGTTTTCTACTGAGCAAACAGTTTTCAAAAGTAAATCCTTATACGTTAGTTCAATATTTAAGGCATCCACTAGCAAAATGGCATTTTGGTGATAAGAACAAACACAAACAGAATGTGTACCACTTGCACCTGGCAAAATGCACCACTTTGGTCTAAGTGAAGCAAATTTTGAGTAACTTATTTGTATTTCTGGATTGTTTTCTTTGTATAATACATATAGTTCCTTTAAATTACACAAAAGCAGTTTTTTTTGTTTGTGGACGTTCTTTTGAATGCTGACATAATCTTTTTTTCCAGGCATAGTTCGACATAAATCACTTGAGTCATAAAACAATTTAACTGAATCTTCTATTTCTTTATGTAAGACTTTACCCTTATACAATGGAGAGATACCTAACAATCCTTTTTTATTAAAAATTTTTCTAGCCATCTTGGCCTGGTATTCTGTAACCGAAAAGTTATTTTGTACTTCTAATATTGACCAACTTGGGGGTGCCAGTGTTAGAAGTTGAACAATAGTTCGTTTGTCAGAACATAGAATTTTTTCTTTTACCAAGCTCATAATTTCATCAAAGTTTGCAGCCTTCTTTTTCATCCCATTGGTTTCATAACATAGTTTTGAGGAAAATTGAGTTTCAATTTTTCTAGTAGCGTTATACGCCATTTCGTTGATGCATGCAACTTTTTGCTTTCCTTCTGACAGTATATGTTTTAATGATTTTGAATGAGATTTTAGAGGAGATAAACTAAAATTTTTGAGTTCTTTATTGATCTCCTGTCTTATTTTTTTGCATGGTGATATTAGAAAATCCTCATCTTGTTCACTCTTACTTTGCTCCTCTTCTGTAAGTTCTTTTTTTCTGGCAATCTTTTGTTTACAAGGTTTGCAAAGTTTCTTCCCAGGAGGAATATTCAAACAATTTCTCATCATGATTTGTGACTCTTTTATTGTAACTACGCCAAGATTTTCTAAAAGTAATTGAATTGTATAAAGTATGTCTGCACATTAGTTCAAAACTTTCGTTTATTTTTTGAAAAACATAAATTAATGAAATATTTAAATTTTACAGCTACATACTTGTGATTTTCTTTGTATGTCTATTGAATGGATCACAACAAGCTTTCTGCCATATAGGATACATTTTCAAATATTTTGTATTATGTCTTTCACATAATATTTCTAAGTTTGATAATTCAATATTACAGCGTAAAGATATAATTATTTTTTCTTCATTGCTTAAAGTTTCAATAACATCTTGTTGGCCTTCGCAAGCATCTGATGTCATTAACCCAATAGAACACATCTTAATAAGATAAATTATTTAGTATGAAAGTATTTCCTAAAAATAAAAATAAAATTCTTCTACTTAATTGTATGTAAAAAAAGTTTTTTAATAAATATAATTTTTAATAAATGTTGTTCTTAATATTATTATTATTAATATTAATAATAAATGTTGTAAAAAAAGAAGTTTTTAAATAATTATATTATTTAAATTATTAATTTTTTAAAATTTAAATATAATCTTACCAATAAATGTTGTTCTATATCTGAACTTTTATAAACTAAACTTTTATAAACTAATTTTTAATAAACTTTTACAAACTATAGTTGTCAAAATTAAAAAAAATATCATATTAACATAACAATTATTTTTTATAAAATGTTTTTATATAAAAACAAAACCGGATGTTTTTTCAGTTGTTAAGTTCATATAATTAAGTTATCATATAATTAAGACTTCCTTAAATATATAAAAAGTCTATTAACCAAAATTAATTCTTTACAGAATTCTATAATTTGCTACACATGTACTATCTTTAGGAAGATTTTTAGCAGCTTTTAAGTGATGCCATACCCTTTTAATTTTTTAATTAGTTTGCAATGAAGTGTATTGAATGCTTTTGCAGTAAGAAAAAAGCAATTCGAAGGATACAAAAAAAAAAAGAACTTTCCTACTTAGTTTTCAGTAAAAAAAAAAGCTCTAGTTTTAAATATATTAAATAATGATATAGTATTAGATATTTCCAAATCTTTGGCTGTAGGATAATTGGAGCTTGATAAGAGTTAACAATGATGTCTCAACTTATCATCTACAACTTATCACTACTAAGTAACTACTGTTCATACAAAGTAGTTTGATATGTTTTATTGGCTAAATGGTTTAAATGACAGAGATATGGCAATGCCAGGTGTTATTGAAACACTATTCTCCTCCCCTCTAACTGTAATAAAAAAAAGTTGTTTTCACCATATCTTTTGCAATATGCTTTTTTTTAAGTATTCTTGGTAAATTGAACTAAATTAGAACATCACTAAAAATATTTTGTTGTTCCCTCACCCCTCCCCCTCGTTAGAAAATTGCTATGGGCACCCATAAAAGTGGTGTATCTTGGAAACTATGGTTCTATATGTTTTAGTTGTTTTTCCAGTTAGGTTTTTTGTGCCTAGTAAGATAATAAGTAGCTAAAAATATTAAAAGCAAAAAAAAAAAAATCTAGACGGGGGTGTTTTGAAATATATGACCCCTAAGTTTGAATATATAAATTAGGTGTGTTTTTAATTTTAAAGCATGTTCTGCTCATATTTCAGCATTCTAAGTGCATTTTTTGAATTCTGCATTAGAAAAGCATTATAAATGCTAATTTTCATATTTTTATTTTCATTATTTTTCATTTTATTAGAGCAAACGTTTTTTTAAAATGACACAGAAACCAGGTCATTTTGGGAAACCAGGTCTATATTAAAACCTTGATATCTTGTGAACGGCTGAACATTTTTGGCTAAAATTTTGCATGTGAACTTTTCTATATGAAATGCAACAGCTAAAAAAGTTTAAAGAAAATATGAGACCTATGGTTCAAAATCTTGAAAAATTTGGGTGATTTGATGTGGAATTACCCAGATATAAGTTTCTTGATTTAGTTAATCTAAGTTTAATTTTTAAAAAAATGTTAAAATTATCAGTAAAAAAGTTATGAATAAAAATGTGGTATCTATTATATTTCAATTATAAAGTTTATTGAAGAGAAAATTTGTAATTTTATGAATTAAAAATTTTTTTAATTTAAACTGTTTAGACATCCAGAAGATGCTATATTTATTCGACAAGTAAGTGATGCAGAAACAAAACCGAAATAAAGACCATAGTTCTTGCAGAATTTTAGACTTCATTGCATAGAAATTAACATTGTAACTGGCATTAAAAGGTACACAGAAATTGTTCTTTTATATACCTTCATGAAGCTGAACATAGGTGGAAGATAAAGAAATATGGAAGATAAAAAAGATAAAAGACCTAAATGTTGTAATTTTTTAATTTTATTATTTAACAATAAACTACAGAAGACAAAAGAATTCCATTTGAGTATGTAGTTACATGTAGTATATTTTTACTATGTAGTTAGTTTCAGAATAAAAAATAGTTTTCCATTTTTTCTTTGTGTTTTTGTTATCAAAAAATTAATAATTGTTTTTTAAAATTGTTTTAATCAGTTTTTATATATAGTTTTATTACCAATGTTTTAAATGTTACTAAATTTTTTTTGTTATAATTAGTATATCAAAAGTTTAAAAACTCAATTAGTAAATAATAAATAAACATAATTGAATAAAAAATGTTATTATCAATTGATAATATATTTGATATAACAATAATAATTATTATTATTGTTATTAACATTCATGCACAATATTGTAAAATTAAATTTTTAACACAGTTATTTGATGATCATAAAATTTGAACTATAAAGCTTTGTTTAAAGCTTTAAGTGATTTTGATTGATGAGATAAGCATTCGTGTTTTTTTGATTGATGAGATAAATATTGATATTCTTTTGATTGATGAGATAAACAGTGATGTTCTTTTGATTGATGAGATTAACAGTGCTGTTTTTTTGATTGATGTAAAAGATCAAAAGTTATAGTTATTATAATGGCGTAGTTCGATTGCCAAAATAAAAGGTTTTCAATAAATTTAAAGTTTTTACTTATAAATAGAAAATAAATGCAAGAGTTTAAAAAATATTCAGATATTCACAGCAATTATTATTGATTGCTGCATTTGCATTCAAAATCTTTGAATTCTATTTTTATTATTGATTCATTTTTAAGAGTTTTCAATTTGAAACAACTTTTAAAAGTTTAAAGTGAGAATTAATTTTTTGAGATTAATTTTTATTTGCATAGTCTTACACGGATTAACTTTTTTTCTCCTCTTTTAAATACTTTCAAAACACAAATAATGGCACTTATGTAATTTGATTGCCATCATTTGATAAAAACAAGATTTTTCTATAATAATATGATGATTTTTACTTGTTTAAGCTATAAAAAAATCTTACTTGTTTTATCGAGAATGTTCTTATAACAATATGCCTGCAAATGACTATCATGTTTTGGAGCTCATTGGAGAAGGTTCCTTTGGAAAAGTTTATAAAGGTCGTAAAAAGTATACTGGACAGGTATAAAATTATTTTCTAAAAAAGTTGTTTATTTTTGTAATCTGTATAAAAAATGAAGCACGAAGTAAACAATGAGAAAAGTTTTTAGAAAATTTATATAAATGCGTGCAAGATTACTGAAGTCCAATTTTTGTCAAAACCAATTTTTAAAAGAGTTTAAAATAAAACTTCAAATAACATAAGATAATATTTGAAATTTTATCTGTTACATAAAAATAAATATTAGGTAAAATTTCAAATAAGATAGAATATCACTAGCCTCCATATTGTAACCACATCTAACAGGATAGACTAATTAATGTTTTGTTATGAAAAGAATTTGCCGCTTACCAGTCACAAAGGGTAAAAATAGTAGCAATAATGTAAATATCAGCTGATATTCAACCCCGAGGGTTGATATGTATATATATATATATATATATATATATATATATATATATATATATTAGCCCTCCGAATCTGTAAAAATAAGGTCAGCAATAATTTGCTGAACTTATTTTTCCAGATTCTGTTAAGACCTTTGTATTTGCCGACTAATGCCAACCTCTAAAAGATTGAGGTTGGCAAATTATTGCTGACCTTAATTTTCCTAATTCCGAAGGTTGGATAATTACATTTTGTATTGTTATTGTAAAAATCACCAATATAGGTATTTAAACAAATTTAAAAATTTTAATTCAACTGAAGATGACTAGTGATAGTCAAAACATGTAGTGTTTAAAATTAGTTAAATGGTTTTATTATTTAAAAGATTTATCTTGTTTATTCAAATATTTACATTTTTCGTGCTTAAAAGAAATTTTGGATATATATATATATATATATATATATATATATATATATATATATATATATATATATATATATATATATATACATATATATATATATATATATATATATATATATATATATATATACATATATAACATTTAAATAAAAAATTTTAAAAACAATAAAATATCATATATATGTATGTATGTATGTATGTATGTGTATATATATATATATGTATTTGTATGTGTGTGTGCAGGCTTGGTCGGGAAGCAGGAGCGATCGCTCTCGAATACTGACCACGGAAATTATATTTAGTTGCGTAAAATTGGCCAGGTGTTTAAGTCCTTTTGAGAACATTTAAGTTTATGTATGAAAAAATTTTTTTTTTGTTTTACGGACATACATGGAAACATAAAAAACTTGAATGTTCTCAAAACATCTTTGTGCGAAAGAATAAAAAGAATATTTGCGAACACTAAAAACCCGCCAAATTAACGAACAAACTAATTCTATTGGTTCAAAAAATACGCTGATTAAGGGAAATAAAGTTCTAGACTATTCTGTTAAAATGTTTTTGTTATGTTTTAAGACCTTCTAGCATTGTTTTAGAATATACATTATTTGCTTACGAAAATAAATGTTTTAAATATATATTAATTAAATTGTTAAAATTTTAAAAGTTTATTATAAATCATAGATTTTATTAGTATATTCTTATTTTTTATTTTAAAAGAGATTTTATTCTTTATGTAAATGTAATTTTGTGTATTTGTTTTTTATCGTAATGTATCTTTTAAAGCAATTTTTATGATTTAAACTAAGACTTATAAAAATAATTGCGTTTTCAATGAAGTTATAATCGTTAAAGTTAATAAAACTAATTATGTAACAAACATATAAGAAGTTTCTGGTTACTAAACACAAACAACGCATACAAAGTAACTCGCGGATGAACAAGCATCATGCCTGAGGTCACGACAGAACACAAATATATATAGCAAATAATTAGATATAAAGAAAAGTTTCTAGATATTGGTTTACTTACTCTAATTATTTTCGCTTAAGTTGCCATTCTTAAAACTCGTTATACTTTTTTCTACTTTAAATACTAATTAAAATTAAAAAGCCCACTCACTAAACATCATCAGCGATATTGTGAAGCAGTTTCGCTTCCTGGTCATTAAGTATTTTTAACTTTTTTAGTTGATTTCTATCTTGATAATTTAATTCCTATAGTAATTCAATGATTTAATTATTTCATTTGTTTATCTTACGAAGAAGAATCGCTTCAAATATGTTAAACTTTTCAAACTACGCGAAAATAAAATAGGTATTAAAAAAATTAACATTTATTTATAAAATAATTTAGCTTAAGTAAAACTAAAACTTGCAAACTTAGTTAAATAAAGTATATTTATTTCCCTTTTAAACAATCGTAAGTTGTTACTTTATATAAAAAATATCGCTTAATTTTATTAAAAAATTTATAGAAGAGCGATGTTTCGAAAATATTTGTTCTAAATGTAATTTATTTGGCTTTAAGTTTTTTCGCGTTTAAAGATATTTTATTTACCTATTTTTTTTTTTTTTTTTGTAATTGTCTCTCATCGGTCCAATTATTCTTCGTCGCTTTTTTTATTTTGCTTTTTAAAATGTTCTCAAAACGACTAAAAAATCTGGACAGCTTTTCGCAACTAAATATTATTTACGTGGTCAGCAATTGAGAGCGATCGCTCCCGCTTCCCAACCAAGCCTGTATATATATATATATATATATATATATATATATATATATATATATATATATATATATATATATATATTATATATATATATATATATTTTTATATATATATATATATATGTATATATATATATATATATATATATATATATATATATATATTTTTTTATATATATATATATATATATGTATATATATATATATATATATATATATATATATATATATATATATATATATATATATATAATATATATATATATATATATATATATGTATGTATGTATGTATGTGTATATATATATATATATTTATATATATATATATATATATATATATATATATATATATATATATATATATATATATATATATATATATATATATATATATATATATATATATATATATATATATGTATGTATGTATGTGTATATATATGTGTGTGTGTGTGTATATAACATTTGAATAAAAATTTTTTAAAATATTTAAAAAAAAAAGGATAAGTAATCATTTTTAAAAAATTCTTTTTATAATAGTATCAGCAAATTCCACAAATGTATGAAAATTTAAGATAGTTAAAACATTTGCAACTTCCTGTAATTTAATTTTTTGTTATAAATTGAAGTTTTATTAATTTGATCATTCATTTCTGATTAGTTTTTATTGATGAAACACAGTGTAAAATAATAAAAAAAATTTTTGTTAAGTGATTTTCTACTAATTAATATATATATATATATTATATATATATATATATATATATATATATATATATATATATATATATATATATATATATATATATATATATATGTATATGTATATAAATGTATATATATATATGTATATATATATATATATTTATATATATATAACCCTGGGAATTAGGGTCGGCCTAACTCCTGACCTGAAAGTGTTTGAGGTCAGCAAAAAATTGTTGACCTCGTTTCTATATTTTATGGTAATCTCTTTGTGTCTAATTTTTTTTTGATAACCTTATGCCGACCTCTATCAGTTTGAGGTCGTCTAATTATTGCCGACATCATTTTTCTTAATTCTGAGTGTTGTATATATATATACATATATATATATATATATATATATATATATATATATATATATATATATATATATATATATATATATATATATATATATATATACTAAATACTAAGTTGTATATATATATATATATATATATATATATATATATATATATATATATATATATATATATATATATATATATATACTAAATACTATGTTGTATATATATATATGTATATATATATATATATATATATATATATATATATATATATATATATTTACTAAATACTATGTTGTATATATATATATATATATATATATATATATATATATATATATATATATATATATATATATATATATATATATATATATATATATATATATATATATTTACTAAATACTTAGTGCATGTGATGAGTAAAATCGCCCCATGTAATATTTTCCACTGATAAAACTGAAACATGTTATTAACAAGCGCAATCATGTGCAGTTGGCATCAAGCCTTCAAGAACGATATTCAGGGTTGGAAATTGGTTTCCATGGGGTCATCCATAAATAAGGTACACAGGTATGGGGAGGAAGTCTCCTAAAAGTTACCAGTGCCTATAAGGGAAAGGGTGGACGCTTTTTTGTTTGAATTTTTTTCATGTTAAGTCTGGGAAATCAGATGATAAAGCTTTGGGTTTTTCATTAATGTATTTATCTATATATCTAATTTATTTATCTATTTATCTGCTTTTATATGTTAATGTGGCTTCGATATTAATAAAAACAATAAAATATCAAGTAGTTTTGTTTATTTTATAGTCCTGCTTAAAAATTTATTTTAAATTTAATAGATTTTTATTTAACTAAAGTAACTAAAATTTTAGTAACTCTGTTTTTAAAAATGGTTAATGCATGATTTTTTAAACTAAGTTTTCTCGTTCCATTTTCCAAGTTTGCGGTTTAAAACTTGATTTTTCAAAATTCTATCAAGTTTTAATTCTTTATAGTTTAAGTTTTCTATTCTCTTTTATTTGGATGAACGCATTTTGAACTTATTTAGTTTGAGTATGCTGAGTCTGAATATGACATTGGTTTTTTGTTGCATCAACCGTTTTATCATAAAGCCAAAAATTTAATTAAATATATAATTAATATTATATATTGCATATTGCATGAGATACAACTTTAGTCAATATATAACATTTACTAGTTACAAAATTTATGTTACAAAATGTCATGTTACATAACGTTACATACATATATTACATGTTACATTATTTTCTAATGCAATAGTCTCTCAAAATCTCAATAAACACTAGAAGTGAGTGGTAGAATGTGGTTTTCTTTTATGAAGTTTTTTGTCATCGTGTATCAAACACTAGATGTAGTCACCCATCATAGCTGCATCCTATCTGCCCTTGTATCGTTTCTCCAT